ATAGTGTCGGACCCAGCACTGACCCTTGTGGTACACCCGCGTTAACTTCCAATCTGAGATATTGGAAACTTTCCTGCGTTCCAGTTTCAGTAGTATCAACTCCCAGTTTGCAGTGTTGAAAGGATTTTGGACGTCTACTGTTAGCGCGTTCCTTGCTTTTTGATTATCTCTTTAATTACTTGCATAGCATGTATCGTTGACCGTCTTTCTCTGAAACCATACTGTTGTTTTGCCAGCCCTCCTTTTTCTTTCATTTCTACCTCCAACTTTCCTTTTTAAAGCTTCGGGAGGAATTTGATCTATTCCGGGCGATTTCTTGTTTTTATTTTCTTGTTCTTGATTTCTTCTGATGTAAACAGCGGTATTTGTCTTTTAGAATTTATTTTTCTGGTTTTTGTCGTCGAGAATAGGTTTCTTACTATTTCTGTCTTTTGCTTGTCGGGTATTTCGTATGGAACTAATTTTTGTAGACATGCTATTTTGTAACCTTGCCCCCAAACATTTTGATTGAGCTCTTCTGGATAGGTTTTTTCAACAGTCTGTCTTTGATTGCTTTATTAATTTGCGAAGTTCCATTTCTTTTACTCCTCTGACATTATACTTCTTTCTTCTGTCCTAAACGCCCGTTTTATCATTCTTATGCAATTTATTCTTTTACTAGTACACTGTTTCTTTTTCTCGTTTATGGTTTCATTCCGCCAGTAAGGCACCTTTTTCTCACCCTTTCTCGTCTCCCTATAGCTGTTTTCATATGCTTCCTAGATTATGCTCGCGCACGTTATAGGTATGCACCTTTTTCCTCTTCTGCTAAATGGGGCAATCGAAAGTCCAGATGGGCTCTGAAAGTACCCCAGTCTATGTCGTGTTTACCCTTGTCCTTGGAGCTTTATCCATTTTGACTTCATAATAATGAAGTCGATGTTCAGATACACCTAAGCTTTCTTCTTCTACTACTCCCTAATGCCTGATACATTTAGCTAATTCTTGAGTTGTGATGCTGATGGTACCATCTATGTAGGATAGTACTTTCTCTTACGAATGATGGTTTATCTCTAGTGTTATGGGGTACCAGATTTAAAAGTAACACGTAGGTAACCTTCACCTCATTTCACATTTGCTACTGTTACTTTTTTGTTTAAAAATATCACAGCCATTTCTATCCTTTCGTCCTTTACCTAGTTGCTCCATTTTGCTATGGCTATGTTCGGTTCGCTTACTATCATAATATCTACCCTGTCTTTGTTTTGCAGTAGCATATGCTAAATCGTGGACTTCGTACACTTTTCTTTATTTTCACTTTCTCACATTTTTCCGATATCTACTACATCTGTCACTTTTTTTAACTAACTCGTAGCGCAAAACCAATTAGCATGACCTCTCAAAATCCAGGATCGTAATCTTGACTCAAACGAATACAAAACTGAAACGTGAACCCGAGGACTATTCTCCATCGTTCGAATGGTCTTTTAAGGGTTTTCGCGATAATTAAGGGTTGTTCCTGTAGTAGGCCACCAAGAAAGGTGAATGTAATAGTAGAAGTGATTTAAAGATTTAGATGGTGCAGGATTGCATGTTATTATGATAGGAGTTATTAGTTGTAGGTTCCCTCTGTAGGTTCTTAAGACCGTACCGCTTCTCGGTTTAAAATCTAGCACTTCTTGCATACGTTTCTATGGAGGTGGCGATAATAGTTGAAGCGGTTGTAAGGGTAGCTTCTCCAATTTTCGGTTTGGCATTGAGTTTTGTGGGGTTTCCGTTTTTTTTAAAAATTGGGTTATGCAAAATATAAAGAGTCGATAGGGCCCGTCTTTTTTGTTGTGTATTTGCCTATGAAAGGCTTGAGGCACCAGACTCGCAATATACGACGAAATTAACTAGCAGTACGCGAAGTCCCGCTGAATCAGATTCTTTGGTTAGCAAAATACTGCGTACCGTGCTTTTTGGAGAATCTGTGGGAATTTTCCATCAATGTGGGTTTGAAGTATCTGGCATTCGGGTTTCCGGAAGTTTGAAGGAAGCTAGTTGATTGGTGGAACAGATTCGAATGATCGATGTGAGTGCTTTTCAGATAATGGAAAGAACATCGTTCGGTAAGAGCCGTGGGGCATTACACGTGAAGCCGCGAGTGAAAAGTTTGGCCTTCGAGCATAATTCGGTTCGATAGAGCATCTGAGTGGGGCCGCGTAAGGTTGGAGCAGTCCTGTAAGATGTTAGCGGAATTTGTTTTTGGATCATGAAACAATTTACATAGATACTAGTACCAGGTGTTTTGCATTAGAACGCGTAATGAAATTCCTTGGTGATTTTCCTCTGAGGAAGAAATTAGATATACCAACTACTAAAATTCCGTACTGTACGAAAAAAAAGTTTTAGACTTTTTAATTTAAAGAAAAGTTGTGAAGGAGGAAATTAATCGTGAATTACGGGCAGCGGGAATTTTTGAATCGCGTTAATTTGAACTCTTTCGCCCTGAACTCAGGTGAATAGAACAACAGGTATAAATACATATCGTCATTCATCGGCCGCCTACCTATTGGGTGTAAATAACATATTTTAACTCACATTTTCGTTTTCCGGTGGATTCCGTTATGTTGTGCAATCGTGTGAAATTTCAAAAGGTCAAGTCGCATGCTTTTACGGGGTCTCAGAGTTTCCATTCATTCATTTTTCTTCATCAATCATACGAGCAGACAAATCTGTACTCGAGTTGTACTACTCAGAGAGATTGGTTACCATTAATTATTATTGTAAATCATTTTTGTTTTGGATACAAATCCATACCATTTTCCTTTAAGAGCAAAAGTCCGTCATTCAATCTAGCTGTATTATATTTTATGTGGGGGCCCATCTGGAAGGAATTAAGTTTTTTGCAGTTGAATTTAACGTTAAATAACGAACACCCTTCGCCTGGGTGCGAAATGTCCTTTTTCGAAATTTTTTTAAAATGGAGGGGTAATTATTATTATAATTATTTAAAAAAGGGTTAAGTTAGATAAAGCTAGATGTTGGAAGCGTACGACTCTGGTACACTTTTAATTTGGATTATGAAGAATCGTGAGCTAGCCATTGGTATAAATTTTTGCAACGAGGAGGCATCCTCAGTCTGAATTTTGTAACTAACCGTTACACTTTCAAGTTTGTTTTATGTTATATTGTTTATTTCTTGTCGTCACGCTCCTATATAAGAGATTATGCATAGTATAGCCTTATAACAGCCTTATCCGACCGTTCGTCCTGTCCGCCTGTCTCGTTCGTGTGACAGTCCATCACGATTATCGTATGATAGTTCACGATATTTCATGATATTTCACAAATAGATCAAAATATGTCAACATTGTTTCTTATGCAAATTTTCTGAACACGTCGGAAAGAAGAATGTCTGAACAAAACATATTTATCGATGGGTCAAAAACTTCCAGTTCGCATATCTCACAAACAGTCGGTCTGTAAGGCCAAAGCTTCATTCTCAAAGGGAAAATGGAAATTAGGGACGGGACAAATCTGCCGATGGATAAAAACTTCAAATTCACATATCGCAAGACCAGAGTGTCAGAAGAGGATACTCAAAGAGATAATGGAAGGTATGAAGCGTATCAGACGTATCAGTTAGTGGGTTAAGAATTTCAAATCCGAAGAAGAGGGTACGGTCAAGGGAAAATGAAAGATCTGGAAGAGAGGTATACCGTATAAAGTCGGTGTACTGTGTATTACTTACGCAATCCATAAAGGGTGTGGACAAAATGTCAATCCCAAGCAAGCAGCGCGATAATTTTGGGTTTTTGCATTATATATTGTGCAAGGACGCTGAATTGTATGATATCGCTCTTTACGATCAGATTTATTTATTTATTAACGATGAGGCTACACTAATCTTATAGTATAAATAAACGCTGGTGTTGGCATTAAAAGCAATGAAATTTAAATAACACTTAGGTAAGAAAACTACTACGCAAAATTAGCAACTACGCGCAGACTAACGTGGCGGGTTACAACGCAAAAATTTAAAGGAAGATTATTCCGTTCTTACCATCTTTAGAAATAAGTGAGTCACAGTCAAATTGAATGCCATCGTCGTCTATTGAGCGCACATTTTAAGCGGCAATATTAATACCGCATTCCTGTTTATCGTGCAAGGTTATTTGTTACAGTGGGCATGTAATACCAATGAATAAAGAATACCAGGAAGGAGCATTAATCAAGTTGTATACGAGAGAGAGTGCGACGGAAGCCGGCCATTTGCAAAAGCCACTTATGAGTCATTTTTGTTGTGACTGTTGCAGTGACATACAAAGAATGGTTAGTTCTTGTGCTTGTGGTTGCTCCAAAACAGAAAAAAATCAAACTTTGGGAATTACATTTCATGTGTAAGTATTGATACCAATATTATTTTTACATAATACATGTAAATTTACAAATGTTTTATCGGCATGTAGTTTGAGGTTAGTTAAACAAAAGTCATAGGCGGAGTAGACACATGGGGGTTTAGATTGTTTTCGTGTAAAATTCTTTATAATTGTATCCTTCTACAACTGTAAGGTAGGTACGCCACTGGAACAGGAAACTACTGTCCGCCATTTGCAAAAGCCATCGCGGTCGCACGTATATTGTTGATATGCTCCTTCCTGGTATTCTTTATTCATTGTGTAATACAAATAAATTGACATTTTATTTTGTAGAGATAATTAACAATAGAACCGGAAATACTGAATCCACTACATTCTGTCTTCTTTGCACGATCGGAAAGTAGGTCTATACTCAATTTCTATCTTTGTCTGAGCTGTGCTCTAATATATCTCTGGTTGTTGTTATGCAACCACACGTACTTACAATTGAAATAAGTCATCACTCATTGGTTTTAAACGAATATGGGTCGCCACAAGGATTTTACTAAAAATGCATTCTTCATGCACTGTGCCTAGTCTACAGTAACGTTTTTTTGTCAAACTGAATTGCATTGCATTGTCATGTTCACAGTATTAAGAAGTTTGCTTTGGTTACAGGAAAGGCGTCGCCTAAAAGAGCGGTACCCAAGTTTGGCGCTCGTGAAGCAAGACGTGGAGCAGTGCGCCCTAATGCTCGACAACTACGAGCAGCTATTGCAGTCTCGCAACATCTGCGAAGGACGATGCGCAATGGGCGAGGAGTGTCCGACGGGCGTCTGCAGAACTGCGCCGACAAGACGCTCAAGGCGGCGCAGTGGCAGGTCGCAAACGACGGAGGGCGTAACTAGAAGTCCGAGTACAACAAGCATACGACCAAGGTCTGGTCCCGCAGGTCTAAGAAGTTATACAGGTAGCATTAGGAAATTAGGACAAACTCGTTTTGCATTTGGATATAATGTAGTGTTGTTGAGATGTTTGTTTGTTTGTTTATGTCAAGTGCATACTCAAAAGTAAAAAAATCCGCTTTAAGGTATGTGAAGTATACTTAAGCGTTGTTGATGTTGTAGTGTCCTTGTGATGCATGCTTTTGTTCTCAATCCTTCCGTAATTAGTTCTTAGGAGTTAGCAATGTGCACACATGTTCCTACGTTCAATAATTCAGCGTGCTTTTTCTCCATTTTAAGGTTCAGCTCCACCATCTCGCTCCGCTTCGAGGGTTGACATATCAAAAGCAGGCCCTAGCGAGTCCCTAACTGCTCCAGTCACTCCAATGAACAGCCCTCCAGTATCTCCTAAGCATCGAGGAACGATACACGTTTCGGCGCCAGTCACAGTTAAAGAAGTCCGGGGATCATAGCCTATGGTATTTGTTTGTGCATCGAGAGAGATGCGTTTTAAAGAAGTTCTAAGGTAACATTGTCCATTAAATTTTAAAATTCACCCGGATTGTATACTGCCTACGGTGGTGGGTGTTACAAATACGCTGCTAGAACCGAGAGAAGTGGGGGTGAACTTCAAAGCCATATCTTTTTGGTCTTGCGTACTTATTGTACAAACTGCTCAGATTAAAGAAAAAGATATGATTTTGTAGCCACCTATCAAGATTGTGCATTCAGATTGATATAAATCCATCCATTTAATCCAAATTTGTGTATAATATCTTTTGTAAGGATCACGATTTTGTGCACACTCTATTCGTGAATGGATTCTGAATCCACTGTTTGCTGCAGATAGTGTTAGCGTTTCTCCATGCAAAAATGATTACAGTATCAGCATACATAACATTAAAATTCAGCCTGGCAAGGGATACAACACTAGAGCGTCTGATAGTTCTTTCAAATAGCAGGGTATAGTCCAGGGTTATGCGATTATTATCAAAATTAACTGTGTAGAACATTAGAATATTTCGAATATTGTTACGTATAATATTCTCTATCTGACTAACATATCTGGAATATAAATCTTATACCTACATATTGAATACAAGGTTCTATTAAACTGAGGCAATCAGTAATATCATGAAAGATCGAGATCATGTATACGACTACTAGAAGATATTTCGCATAATTTTGGAATGATATATTCCTGTGTTTTGCACGATTTTGCATGCATAGATATTTCCCTACGTTCTATTAAAAAAAAATGCGTCCACCTATACTAGTAGTTCAAATGGGTAGTAGGTGCAATGTACAACTATCACCTTCAATTCTACCGTTAGCATTTAGTGTGGATATTACGGACATGCGATTGGAGTAGAATTGTGCTATTTGGAAGGGGCTTGACGTGACCACAGAAATACTATCACTTTGGTTTTAAAGTGTGAAACATCGAAAACCGTGACCTTGTATGTTAATATTATTGTAAAATCATTTGTAGGTTTATTTTGAAAATTCCGCGTTCTAGTCATTTAAATAAAAATATAGACACACTGTGTCTCCCCAACAACCAATAGTCGGTATATACATTTCTTTAAACATTTCTTGTTGCTACAAACACATTGAAATTGGCAAATATGATACATACTTTGTCTAGATTAAAAATGTGTCCAGTCTAAACTAATTAATAACAAAGATATATGAATCATTAAACATTCAATATAAATTACTATATCATTGATAGCTACGGGAAAAAGAAGAAAAAAACATTTTTTTAGTATTAGGTTTTTTGTAGAATGCCCTGTATATTTTTACATATTTTGAAAAATAATTAATAATTAATAACTAGTAATTAATTATTAATAATTAATAATGAAGGATTTGATTGAACATACCGCCCATTCAGTGGTTTGTTGAGGACGCAGAAGAAAAGTTGCTACCTACAAAATCCAGTAAGCCTATTGCAAAGAATATGAAAAGTAGTGGCGTGGATAAATAGGAAGCATCGTTTAAACAAAGTCTTAAATGCATCGTTAATGCTGGCATATATGAAGGAAATGTCAAAGGTATCTAAATCTTCTACCCGTTGGTGCATTAATTCAAAACTTCAAACAATGCTGCAATTAAAAAATGGAATTGACCCGCGTTTGTGAGAGCTTCAATCAAAGGATAGGTACAAGCCAAAGAAATCTTTGGCATTTACAGAAAGCTACCTAAGATGACTACTTCAAGAGCGTTGCAAACGTTACCATTTAGAAGTGCTTCAAATCTGGTTCAACTGGTTTGGGAGGTTTTCTTGAAGATCCTTGAGAGATTGAAGATGATAATACAAAATCAAAAAGCCGTGGAAGGCGAAAATGTCTCAGAAGTCGAGAAAGGCAAGGGAGACAAGGATCGCGGAAAAGTTGGTGCGAACGACTGAAGAAGGCATAAATGCAAGAGCTGCCGAAGAATGCGAAAACTGAAGAATCCAGAGGCGATGGGTATCCAAAGCAATCGAATAAAATAAAGAAACTGAGACTCCGAAAAAATGGTTACCAAAGAAGCCAACGAAGCAATGCAATAGAAGTATGAGAATTGCAACGAGGGTTTTTAAATTTAGATATAATTTTGTTTTCGATTGTAGTGGGGATGGACTTTGCGGAAATTTGTTTATTATTATTAGCTTTGAGATCTTTGGGTACCCATTTTTCCTTCTATAAGTCGAAATGGGGTGCAATGATAATCCACGTTTTAGAAGTTAAAACCTTCTTCATAAAATACAATTTATTAAAAAAATTTGATGTTGAAAAATAAGGCTAACGCGACATGTTTCGGCTAACAAGCCATCATCAGGCCCTAAAAGTTCTGTTTTAACAAATTTGATAAGAAGCAAATGACAAAACTTACAATCTTAAAACTACCGGTAACGGTTTTAAGATTAAGTTTTAAGATTTTAAGTTTTGTCGCCATTTGGTTCTTATCAAATTTGTTAAAGCCGAACTTTTTGGGCCTGATGATGGCTTGTTAGCCGAAACATGTGGCCTTGGCCTTATTTTTCAACATTAAATTTTTTGAATAAATTGTATTTTACGGAGAAGGTTTTACGTTCTTAAACGTGTATTAGCTTTGAGATCACGGAAGTCTATGCAGGTCACGGTCAATTCAGATGTTGTCTTTTCGGCTCTCCGACCGACCATAGGGGGTCCAATCGTTAAAGTTTCAATTTATGTCGCATCACAATAACGGTCAAGGTTACGGTTTGTGGTGATTACTTTCATCGAGCGTATTTGTTTTCAATATTCAAAATTAGGAGGAAAGCCTATTTCTGAGTTCCAAAAGGGACAAATACTGTATATTCTAATATTCTATTAGCAGTTTGAGAAATCTACGTGAAGAAGTTGAAGTCGATTGAGTTCATAGCACCAAGAAACGGAAAAAAACGAAGATCTCACAGCAAGAAGCCAAGAAAGCTGAAGAAAAGTTCAGAAAGGTCGAAGAGGGAGATAAAGTTTCCTAGGATCGTATTAAATGGATATTTGTGTTAAAAAAACCCTCGATTTAATTTTCGTGTGCTCTGTACTCGGCCGTAGTTCCGATTTTTCTATGACTCAAAAATCCACATCATCAATCAATTAGCTAGGATTATAATCTAAACCGGATTTAAATCCTACAGAAGGTTTTAATGGCTTTATTTGTTGACCAATATCACTATCCAAGATCTCTTCCCCCGGTGGAGTTGTGCTTGAATGGAAGGGGTTAAAATGTACCTACAAAGAGGGTATTTTGGCGGTTTAGGGTTTTATCTTGTAAAAGACTGAAAATATCGAAAAGTTGCTTTTAGAGCATTATATTCTTAATTCAGTTTTTGTCGTTACCGTGGGAATTTCGGAAAGTGCTTTTGGAGTTTACCTTAAGACCTTCAAAGTTCAAAGAAATCCACGTTTTAGATGTAAAACGTAAAATCCCGTTTTTTCCGTTCCCGTAGGAATTTAACGAAATTTTTTTAACGCTCTCTTTCTTCTATCTCCAAGGAATCAGCCTCACAGTCTCTTATCTCCACAATTTTCTGCAGATGCAACAAGGGGTGTGCAGGTGGTTGTGGATGTCGAAGGCTGGGAGTAAGTGCGTAATTATTAGTGCCTACTGCAAGGGAAACTCTTGTACTAACTCCCTCCAATCAGATACAATTGCCGTAGTTATCTACAGAAATTGGGGCTTGGATTTTGAAACACTCCGTCTATGCAACTGATTTTTCTAGTAAGAAAGAATTCGCTGTCGACGCCACTGCGTCATGTATAGAAGTGATAATGTGCAAGTGAGCTTTATCAATGCATATTTCTAGTTATGATAGCGACATTAGCGCAGAGCGCTTCAATCAATGTAAGTGTGTTCCAGTTAGAAGGTGAACATTTTTCTCAATTCTTTCTCATTGAAAAACTCGTGCTTTCTTCTAGATAATTTGGCAGTAATGGAGAAGTATAAAACCGCAGAGTGCCCGATTTGTTTCGAGGTGTTTCCCGATAAAATATTCCAATGCATGTGCGGTCACAGCCTATGCGAGTCCTGTTCGGCGATAACCATACGATGTCCAATTTGCAACGATTATATGACGACAATTCGTAATTTTACATTAGAAGCGCTCATCGAAGAGTCCAGGAAAAAACCTCATACCAGCGTTACCAAAACTCCAAAACCCGCGACCAAAGTTCGCGTACCGGCTAAGGAGGTCGTCTGTCCGGCCTCGTCCAGCTGCAAATCCTTCCAGACCGAGAAACACGATCCAATTGGGCACCTCGAGAAATTTCACTCTCGCGATTTGATAAAGACATTGGATTCAGGTGCTATAAAAGTAAAGAAAACGGTCCGTCGTAATGTAGGTGATGAAAATTTCTCTAAAATTATCTACTGTAAACAGAAGTTATTTAAGCTGTACGTTAATATCAATCACTCCACGGTAATGGTTCATTTCTCGGTAACCGTCACCGATACCATTAAGGGAAAATTCGAAGTGGACTACCAACGCCAGATCAGAAGCAAAAAATACACTGCGTCGATTTTACCGTCGGATTACAGTCGGTTTCCGTTTCGGGTCCACGCAGCCATTCCCAAAGATCTTTGTTGTTTTAAAATCAATGGTAATCTCACATTGATAGTGTATTTGAATTTATTCTTTTGATTATGATGATTTTTATGTAAATGATGTTTTTTATCGTAATGACAGCTGCGCTGTTTGAATATTTATTCATGATGCATCTTTATATCTTTGTATTGTATTGAGATTTTAATAAAATTTCTGATTTGAAAATTGTCTATCCTAGGTGAGGTCTGGTGTATTGCGTACACTATAGGGTTCGGTTTCGACCAAACTTTAAAGGTTGGTGTAACTCATAAATATATCTCGATGAAGTTTGTAAATAAGCCAATTCCGCCATATTGGAACAAAATTTAATATTCCCAAGACAATTAAATAGGTAAATTATGACTCATGTTACGATACAGGTACAGAGAGTATGTAAAAGACTACGTCAAAACATTTACATGAGATTTTAGGGAACTTGCCACTTAAAACTTGAAAATTTGGTAGCTACTTCATTGTAATCTTTGAATTAAACATGAGTCCATATGCAAACGATATGACGAACTTTATTCAACAAAAAGAAAACGAAGAATTAAATACATTCATCTTTGTGATATGCATTGTCGATTTTCACAAGTTGTAGTACCCAACGTGGTTTCAAAAAATTTAGTCTTATCCACATCATGTACATTTACATTTCTTAAACCAACCATTGTACCAATTTACCATTTTTCTTCCTATGTGGAAATTTTAGTATTTATAAATAATATTTCACTTGAAATGTCAAACAGTAAATTAAATTTTGACAGTCGTCTATTAATACATGCGAATTAGGTTGTTCAAATTCTTTAATGCTTTGGTTAGTAGAAGCGTATGTAATTCTCTCTGTATACACTGTGTCGGAGATAAGCAGGTTCACCCATGTGAAGTTGGCCCCGTCCACAGGAAATAATTTGACAAAATTATGCAGTTGGTACTACCTTCAAAGGTACTACGTTAGTGCTTTTTAGGTGGTCGAAGCTTATCGTTAGTGCTGCTACATAACATGAGGAAAATAAAAAATCCGGGACGGGACCAACTTCAGACCAAAAAAATCAAATCAAGTGCCCGTATATTTTTAATTAGATGAAACCACATGTGATTATTAGTGCTACGCTAGGGCTCTTTTGTGCTCGAAAATTGGGATTTCATCATTTCATCTTTCCAAGAAAAATGAAAACACCTAAAATATTTTCTGAAGTTGGCTCTACCCATACTCGTTTTTAAGGAAACGCACATACGATCGTTAGTGTTACGTTAGTGCTTTTCAGCACTTCCTTTTATGTTTAAGAATATGTGTACCAAATTTGGTTTCATACAGGCAGATAGGCCGACAAACCGACCTACATCATTGCGACTTTGTTTGATTCGGATGTGCCTCAGAACGTATCTTTCCGCCAAAACAGTGGGAGGTCATTTTTTAACCCCCTTACTAACGTGCTTGAGGTAAAAATACTAAAATATTGTGTGAAGTTTACCCCATTTATGACTCGTTTTTAAAAAAGACACGCATACTATCGTTAGTGCTGATTGATGTTCGAATGCTTGCGAGTCTAACGTTTTATATATTTCCAAGAAATTCGAAACAAGTACAGGGTCCGGCAGAGGAATGTGACGTTTTTCGCTGCACTGTAGTGATTAGACATTTTGTTGTATAAAGAAGTAAAAATCTGAAAAATAATACTAATTGAATGCAGTTTTTAACAGTTATTTTTTAAAAATTATAGATTTTAAATGTCCACCATTAAACTCTATACATTTTTCAATATTTTCTCGGACGTGGTTCATAACTGCGCTCGAAGTCAGGCGTTCGCACACTACGGGAAGAACCAGGAAACCTATCACGACAGCGCGTTTGGTTCGTTCGGGGTATTTTGTTGCTAGTGAATACGCACCTTAAATAGGTACATTCGTTTCGGAGAAGTCCCAACTTTCTTCTTTTATATGTCCCGTAAAAAAAGTACATACTGTATTGAGTAGCATTTGTTATTTATTACGAATACAACGATATACGGCACACACATACACAAAAACAAAAACAGGATAATGCACTCGCACACAGCGCCATATATTGTGCGAGAATACCTATGGAAGAAATTTTCCATTTTCCAGGATATTAGTCGCGCAAACTGAACTGCGGAACTCCAACATTTCCTTACACGTTCTAGGGATGGAAAAAAGCACAAAAATTATAATGGCGTAAAATACGGCATGGTGCTCCTGAAAATTTATTTACGATAATAGTCCAGGCTATATAATATTTTTGACAAAAAAAATTTTAGTTACCTGGCGAAACCGAGTTTTTCAGCCAGGTGAAATGAATAGAAATTGGGAAAAAATAATTAAAAATTTAAAACAGCTGAATTTTTCCGCGGGTGAAATCACGGGGGTTGAAAGGGGTGGAAAGTGGTGTTTTGCAAATTGTGGCAAAACTATTAATTTTAGACAAAAATGTTAAATGCAAAAGTTATAGAGATTAAAAAAATGAGCAACTTGTATGTGGACTATTTTCACATAACCTCCAATTTTCCTAGAAAAACCGGAAAAAATGTTTTTTTCGTTTTTTATTCTTATTTTTGCGAAAAAATGGCGTAGGGGTTTGGAGGAAACATAGCCTGTTTTATGATAAAAAAGAAGATAATTGTTTGGGCCCGTAAAATCGAACCGTTTCCAAGATCTCACGATGTTTGAAAAAAACCACTTCTTTTTCAAGGGGATGAAAAATCTACTTTTTTTTCATCGTACAGAGGTGTGTGGGGCAGCAAAATTTTCAGGAAGACATATTTTAATAAACAAAATTTAAAAAATATTATTCCTATAGCAAAAATTCGAGAAAATCGCCAGAAACTGGAAAAACAGTTTTAAGATATACACGATTTTTCACATGATAAATCAACATGTTGGATGTTAATAAAGATTTTTTCGAAATCTGTCTTCTTGCTTCTTTAATGTTTGCTTAAATACCTATTCTCTTTTGCTATCTTATGCTCAACTGTTTTAGTTGAAACATCTTTATTATTTCTTTTTTCTGCATTTTTACCACAATAAAAGCAATTCCAAATAAAATCGGATTATCTTGCTTCCTGATTCCTGAACAATTTCTTTTTGTTCACTGACTCTTCTTCCTGCCTGTTTTATAGCTGATGCAATTGCGTTGGGCCTGTTGAAAACTTGCAAAATCTGCAATAAGGACGTTAGTTTTACCGGCCGTGTAGTATGATCTTTGCGGCCATTGGCCAAAGCAAATGATGTAAAACCTGGAATAAACTTTATGAGGATTTTATCCATAATTCCTGTAAATTAACGATCAACAGGCCCAGATTAATCCAATCAGCTGTAAAACAGGCAGGAAGAAGAGTTAGTGAACAAAAACAAATTGTTCAGGAAGCAAAAGAATTCGATTTTACTTCGAATTGCTTTTATTGCGGTAAAATGCAGAAAAAAGAAATAATAAAGTGCTTTAATTAAGGCAGTTGAGCACTGGGAAACAAAAGAAAATATTTTAGCAACATTAAAGAGGAGAGAGAAGACAGATTTCAAAAACTTTTTATTAGCGCGGATCCAATACGTTAATTTAGTTGCAAAAAAAGTATTTATCTACTGTCAAAAACGGTATATCTTAAAACTTTTTCCCCAGTTTTTGTCGCTTTTCTTAAAATTTTTCTATTGGAATAATATTTTTTTTTATTTTTGATTATTAAAATGTACCTAAGTCGTTACGAAAATTTTGCTACTCCGCGCACCTCTGTACGATGAAAAAAGATAGATTTTTCATTCCCTTGAAAAATAGGTGGTTTTTTAAATCTTCTTTTTTATCATAAAACGATCTATGTTTCCTCCAAATTTCAAACCCCTACGACATTTTTTTGCAAAAATAAGAATAAAAAACGAAAAAAGCAGTTTTTCCGGTTTTTCTAGGAAAATTGGAGGTTATGTGAAAATAGTGTAGATACAAAAGTTGCTCATTTTTTTAATCTCTATAACTTTTACATTTAAAATTTTCGTCTAAAATTAATAGTTTTGCCACAATTTGTAAAACACCATTTTCCACCCCTTTCAACCCCCGTGATTTCACCCGCGGAAAAATTCAGCTGTTTTAATTATTTTTTCCCAATTTCTATTCATTTCACCTGCCTGAAAAACCCGATTTCGCCCGGAAACTAATTTCTTTTGAAAATAAATTATTTTAGAGCTATTTAGCCTGGACTATAATGGATATACTTAGATGATAGATGATGTTAAAGAAATAGAAATTTTGACGTTAGGTTAGTAGCTGGTTATATAGATTCCAAGACCGCCCATAATTTGTGTTTGTATCATAAAAGAGCCGAAATCCAATCGACATTTGCGACACAAAAAATGCTACACAACACAGTGTGTACTTTTTTTTACTGCCCAAATACAAAGATAACGTTGCTGATGATTTCTCCGAAACGAAACGTTGTATTGAAAATCTCTTAACGGTGTCTCGTAAAGCTCAAAAACTGGCAATGAGAAAGTGGTTTTTATTTCTGTTCAAATGCCATCACAAAAAAATTAAAAAAACATAATTTTTTAATTGCCACTTTTTGAGAGATTTTCAATACAACGTTTCGTTTCGGAGAAATCATACACTTTTTTTTATAATGGCTGGTAAAAAGAAGTACAGTCTGTATTGAGTAGCATTTTTTATTACGAATAGAACGATGTATGGCACACAAAAAAACGCAAACGTTGGAAACTGTTGGTTTTAACAGGACGGTGCACCGGCGCACAACGCTGGAATCGCGAATGTCCTGGAAAATGGAAAATTGCCCAGCTCACTATACACTCACAAAACTTTCAGAAGCAAACACATTCGAACCACAGTAACCTTCTTGGTGGTAACCGAGAACCTTTGAACTATGTACGCCACGCTAATCGTTATATTTTTCTGTTCTTTGTTCTGGTGCCACTTTCAGTTTCCATTTCTTTTCGGGCGCTGAGTTTTTTCCTAGTGGCTAGTAGGTGACTAAGCCGGGATAAACAAATATGAATTGTATTGCATTTTGTCTAATAATAATAAATAGATCTACGGAAAGTACTCGGCCTAGTAAGGAACTTGAATCCACAACAACCTTCTGCGTTTCTGGTGGGGGTTCGCATTCCACTATTTGCGTAATATATCGAACGTGGTACC